GGGGTTGACCAGGGGAAGAGGGAAGAGGGGGGGTTGACCAGGGGAAGAGGGAGCGGGGCAGAGAGCAGAGGGCAGAGAGAGAGCAAGAGAGCAGAGCAAGAGAGAGAAACAATGGCTGTGTTTCTCTTTTTAAGCCCTCTGTTTCGGGGTTTGGTCTTAGGGCAATCTATTCCTGAAACTCCGTCCCCTTGCTAACCCTATAGGTCACAGACTGGGTGACGTCCTAATGAAGGGGAAGGGGGCAATATGCAGATATTCTATCCTACATCAAAGCGGGGGCCATGTGGTGAGGTGTGAACCTCCGTTTCCATTGGCAACCTTTGACTTGCAGAGATGTTGCTGGCCCAGAGTCATAAACAGTATTGTCTTTTGATGCCAAACCAGATAGCAGGGAGAGTTACGTGGTTTCCCACAGATTAGCAATGGTGGGGTTCGCTGTTGTTTTCCAAGGGTCCGAGTTAGGGTGTAATGGCGCTGGGTCTCCTCTATCCCGATGCATCATGGGATGAATTCCAGGGAAGCACATGGTCTGCAGAAGCAGCAGGCAGCACAGGTCTTGTCTATTCCTAGGCAAGCATGCGATGCAAGGCAAAGCTACACAAACAGCAACAATCCCTGAATCCCCAGTGCACAGATATACAGGCATGAAACCCACACAGGCAGCATCAACACAACACAGAAATGCAAACAGAAGCACCCATGGTAACAAGTTAAAAGGACCAGGTGTCAGGCAATATGAAAGACCTCTGTCTGAGACCCCGGAGAGTTGCTGCAACTCTAAGCAGGCAATAATGACCATGGATAGACCAAGAATCTGATTCAGCATAAGGTAACTTCAGGTTCCAGCTAAAAATGACTTTTTCAAAGGGGTACAAATATTGTCCAGTGAACACTTTGATTGTGTGACTACTCGTCTTTTTGGTATCTGTTCCCCATTTTCCTTTTTTCTTTCACGTTCCTGAATTAGCCAGCAATGATTTCAAACATTATTTCGCAGAGAAATTGCCGTAGAATATGATGACACCCATCAGCTTAGGTGGCTTTGTAAGGGGATTAAACAAAATCAGAGATGACAGATCATTCAATTGCTTATTGCACAAGATACCTCACTGCCTAGCTTTCAGAGGCAAGTATACCTCTGCCACCTTCTAGAAACTCCTGTTGGGGCTTGACTTTTAAAACACTGATGCAAAATTGTGTGGTAGTTATCAATCTGTATGTACTGAATGTTATTGCTTATTGAATATAATGAATATTTATACCTGATTAGGATGAAATAATGATACACTATGTACTTTACTAAATGATGAACTTAATTAGAACACATTCGTTTGTTAAAAGGTTTTTGCAGTGTATATTTATTTGTTACTAGACTCTCCTCCTAACACTGCAGCTCAGGTTACTTCAATTGCCAGGTGGGGCCCCCGGAGATCTCCTAGAAATACAACTGATCTCCAAACCAGAGAGATCAGTTCCCCAGGAGCAAATGGCTGCTTTGGAGGGCAGACTCTATGGCATTACACCCTGCCGAGGTCCCGCCCCTCCTCATACCCTGCCTTTCCCAGGCCCCCTCCCCAAATATCCAGGAATTTCTGAACTCAGAGTTGGCAACCCTATCTCCAGTCTACAGATATCACTCCTCCTGGAGAAAATAGCTGCTTTGGAAGGTGAAGAAGAAAAAGGAAAGAGATTGGATTTATAGCCCGCCCTTCACTACTCAAGGGAGTCTCAGAGCGGCTTACAATCTACTTTCCCTTCCCCTCCCCACAACAGACACCCTGGGAGGCAGGTGGGGCTGAGAGAGCTCTGACAGAAACTGCTCTTTTTCAAGGACAGTTGTGCCAGAACTACGGTTTGCCCAAGGTCATCCAGCAGGTGCAAGTGGAAGAGCAGGGAATCAAACCCAGTTCTCCCAGATTACAGTCTGCGCACTTAACCACTACACCAAACTGGCTCTCTGGCTCAGTGGGAGAGCATCTGCTCGGCATGCATAAGGTCCCAGGTTCAATCCCTGGCATCTCCAGTGGAAAGGATCAGCTAGCAGGTGACGTGAAAGACCTCTACTTGAGACCAGCCTGAGTAGACAGTACTGACTTTGATGGACCAATGGTCTCAATGTTCCCTCTAAGCTGTTGGGTCTTGTGAGCAAAAATTCTACTTTGTGAGCCACTGGCATTAAAGTTGTGGGCGAACAATTGGGCTGCTGCCTAAGTTAGTTTGTTCTGGAGCCGTCCCTTCCTGAGCGAAGGCAAAAATGGGTGAGCCGGAGGCTAAGAAACTGTGAGCTGGCTCACACTAACTCAGCTGAGAGGGAACACTGGACAGCATCATCTGGGGTCCCTCCCCTTCCCTTCCCAAAACCTGCTTCCCCAGACTTCATCCCCAAATCTCCAGGAATTTCCCAACCTGGAGCTGGCAACCCACTAGAAAACTCCTCCCCCACAAGAAAAAGATGGCCAACCTAGCTTCCCAAAACAGGGTCCCCAGGGCTTGGCTGAGAGTCCAGATCCCGGGAGCTTTGCTGGACCATCTCACCTCTTGCTCATTCACCATGGCACTCCGTGACCAGTGTTCCCTCTAAGCTGAGTCAGTGTGAGCTAGCTCACAGGTTTTTAGCCTCCGGCTCACACACTTTTGTCTTCGCTCAGGAAGGATGGCTCCAGAGCAAACTAATTTATGCAGTAGCCAAATCGCTCGCTCACAACTTTAATGCCAGTAGCTCACAAAGTAGAACTTTTGCTCACAAGACTCCACAGCTTAGAGGGTACATTGTCCGTGACCACCCCTGTGTCAGCCACAGCGGAATGCCCCACGGGGAAAGGCGATGAGTTGTCTTGTAGCTGCAGCAGTGGCCACATCACAATCCCAGGAGAAACGGGGGGGGGACAAGGGGGTTAAAATCCCCTCTGACCATAGTTCTATCTGCAGTCTAGATCTGTGTGGCAAAACCCTTGGCATGTGGGTGCTAGTTCCTCATCTCCCTCTTGGCCAGCTGGCTTTGCTTGCTTGATCCTACAACTCTCTCCTGCCTGGTTCCTTGGGCTTGAGACTCTACCGCGGTTAAGAGAAATTCTCTTCATTCCTCGTTATCCGGCATCTCCAGCAGTTCATTTCATTTCCTCCTTTCATTAATTTGGAGTCAGTTTCCAATCAATTCCATTTTGATCAAAGAGAAATTCAAGGAGGGGCGGGGCAGGAGAGGCGGGCCTGCAGATGTTCACAGGTCAGCCATGTCTTCCCCATACCTTCTTTTCCTTCCTGCTCTAATCATGACCCTAATCTGGGAGAACCCGGTTTGATTCCCCACTCCTCCACTTGCACCTGCTGGATGAACTTGGGCAAGCCAAATTTCTGATAAGAGCTGTTCTTGAAAAAAAAGCAGTTTCTGTCAGAGCTCTCTCAGCCCCACCTACCTCACAGGCAGTGTTCCCTCTAAGCTGAGTTAGTGTGAGCTAGCTCACGGTTTTTTAGCCTCCGGCTCACAGATTTTTGTCTCGGCTCAGGAAGGATGGCTCCAGTGCAAACTAATCTATGCAGCAGCCAAATTGCTCGCTCACAACTTTAATGCCAGCAGCTCACAAAGTAGAATTTTTGCTCACAAGACTCCACAGCTTAGAGGGAACATTGCTCACGGGGTGTCTGTTGTGGGGAGGGGGAGGGAAAGGAGTCTGTAAGCCGCTCTGAGACACCTTTGGGTAGTGAAGGGCGGGGTGTAAATCCAATCTCTTCTTCTTCTTCTTCTTCTTCTTCTTCTTCTTCTTCTTCTTCTTCTTCTTCTTCTAGCACGGATTCTAATCTGGGAGAACCGGGTTTGATTCCCCACTCCTCCCCTCGCACCTGCTGGATGACCTTGGGCAAACCATAGTTCTGATAAGAGCTGTTCTTGAAAAAAGAGCCGTTTCTGCCAGAGCTCTCTCAGCCCCACCAGCCTCACAGGGTGTCTGTTGTGGGGAGGGGAAGGGAAAGGAGTGTGTAAGCAGCTCTGAGACACCTTTGGCCAGTGAAGGGCGGGGTATAAATCCAATCTCTTCTCCTGCTGTTCGAGCACCACCCTGTGGTGTATAGCACAAAACAACTACAGGGGCTGACAGGTTTTAAATTTTTTTTTTAAATTTAAACTTTTAGTGCCGCCTTTCCACCCAATCATGGTCCCCAGGGTGTACAAAAGGGGCCCCTGGTTTCTCTATGAATAGAAACAAAGGAGAAATTCCTCTTCCAAAAGAGAAAACAAGATGAATCAATGGCTGTATTGAAAAAAAGTGAATTTGGAAAAAGAAATGCCCCTCCCCATAACAAAACAAGAGGAATCAATGGCTGTATTGAAAAAAAGTGAATTTGGAAAAAGAAATGCCCCTCCCCATAACAAAGCTACAAGCAGGGCTTTTCTTCTTGGGGGAGCGCACAGGAACGGAGTTCTGGAACCACTTTAACCATTTATTTTAATGTTTAAAAGTTCATGAGTTTTCAGTCTACAGATTCAAAACTTCATTTCCTTCTTGGGAGTTCTGCCACCTCTTCCCCCCCCCAAAAAAAAATAAATAAAGCCCTGAATACAAACAGTGTTCCCTCTAAGCCGAGTTAGTGTGAGCCAGCTCACAGTTTTTTTAGCCTCCGGCTCACACATGTTTTTGCCTTAGCTTGGGAAGGATGGGCTCCAGAGCAAACTAATTTAGGCAGCAGCCCAATCGCTCGCTCACAACTTTCATGCCAGTGGCTCACAAAGTAGGATTTTTGCTCACAAGACTCCACAGCGTAGAGGGAGCATTGGCTACAAGAATCAAACTCCCCCCCCCTTCCTCCCCACTTCCCCTATGGAGACTACCTGCCCCACTTGTCTCTACAACCTAGAGTTGCCAGGTGTCTTCCCCCCCCCCCCCGCGCCACCGGCCAGGCTGCAGCTAAATGCCTTGCCATACCCTGGCAGAGACCCATCGCTGTGGCTCCTCCCCCAAAGAGTCCCCGGGACAAAAACGAGGAAGCAATGGACACGGACGAGGCAGCAAGGGTGTAAGAGTTTATTTCCATCAAGTCAGCATGTTAGTAGACTTGGTATTGCTGGAGAAAGCCACGCCTCGAGGAAGAAGCTACGGAAATGCTGGAAATGTGAAGGCCTCCATCTTCCAACTGCATCTGGAAGGACGCTCAGTCCCTGTCGGGACCACATCTGTCCTCTCTGTGACTGATGCGATGGGCGTCGTCCGCCAGGAGACAGAACACCTTGATGAACTCCTCAAAGGTCAGCTTCTTGTTGTTGTCGACATCGCACTGCTTGAAGAGCCACGGGAGGTAGCTTGGGTTGCCTCGGTTCTGCAAGGAGGGGAGGGAGAACAAAATAAGTCGATTGGCCAAAGCCCCGGGGGGGGGGAGTTGCCAGCTCCAGTTTGGGAAATACCTGGAGATTTGGGGGGTGGAGCCTGAGGGGGGTGGGGTTTGGGGCGGGAGTTCAAAAGGGCATAATGCCGTAGAGTGCGTCTTCCGATGTGGCAATTTTCTTGAGGGGGAGCTGTTTTCTGAGACCTGGGACTCTGTTGTAGTCCCAGGAGATCTCCAGCCACCGCCTGGAGGTTGGCAACCCTACGTGGTTGAAGCATGCTAACTGTGAGCGCCGATGTTCTTGGGTACCGTCTGACCTGCAAATGGGGCTGCCAGGTTGCCCACCGCGACGATCAAAAATCAGAAGGGGAATCAGCATTGGGAACGCTATGATGTCACTTCCCCTTCCTGACCTGGAAGTGACCTCGTGATGACATCGACGCCAATTCTTAAGCCCCTGCCCCCGTTTTTGGTCCTGGGGACTGCAGGCCAGCTCATTCCGTGCTGAATTCTGGTCTGTGTTTATAGCGGGATAGCCGTGCGGGATAGCCGGCGACGGAGGACTATTTATCGCCATCCTGATTGGTTCTAATTTCGTGTTTATTATTTGTGATTTTCATTATAGACAGGGCTTTTTTCGTAGAGAAAGCCCAGCAGGAACTCATTAGCATAATAGGCCATACCCAACAGCAGGGACTCATTAGCATATTGGGCCACACCCCTGACAGCACAGCTCATTAGCACATTAGGCCGCGCCCCCGTGTTACCAGAAGTGTGGTCATCCAGCCACACCCACCTTTTGCTTCTTATTCTGTTTACCTTGTTTGTTGTCAAAACCCTGGGCCTTTTTTTGTAGCAGGAACTCCTTTGCATGTTAGGCCACACACCCCTAATGTAGCCAGTCCTAGTGAGTTTCTGCTGTTGGGTGTGGCCTATTATGCTAATGAGTTCCTGCCGGGTGTGGCCAACTTGGGAGCCAGCCGGAACTCCGTCCCTGTGCGTTCCTGCCCCAAAATAGCCCTGATTATAGATCAATTGTGTTTTTAATTGTTTATGGCATCGTAAATCGCCCAGAGCCTGACCAGCAGGGTGGGCAATCCATGTTTAATTAGATAACTAACTAAATAAATAAATAAATAAAATAAACATTTATAACCTGGTTGCTCTTAAAGAGGAGGAAGAGATACCAAAGCACTCTTTATCGCCCCAATTTTGCTCTGTGCAGGACTGTCAGAATCTCACCACCTTGGCACAAACAGGGGAACCAGAGAACAGAGAGTCCTGCGAGACAGCTGCTAGCTGGTTTCTCTTCCTCCCACCTCTGCCGCCTCCACCTTCTCTTACTCCATCCTAAATGCAACCACCAAGAGGAGCTCCCCAGTGAGACGCTACGGTTTCCAAGTAATCTCTCAGCCGAACGATCCTTGGAAGACAGGGCGGGAGGGAACAAGCGAGAGCAGGAGCCTTCCTCTTGGTGAGGCAATCATGTCCCTTCTCCTCCAGATCATAAGATAGGCCCGCTGGATCCAACCCAAGGTCCCAACCCACTGCTTCTTAGCATCCTCCAAGCAAGGCTGAGCAGCCGGGTTAGAACAGATAAAAGGAAGTCCTTCTTCACCCAAAAAGTGATGAACACTTGGAATTCACTGCCACAAGAGGTGGTGGCAGCTACAAGCATGGACAGCTTCAAGAGGGAATTAGATAAGCATATGGAGCAGAGGTCCATCAGAGGCTATGAGCCACAAGGTATAGATAGGAACTCTCGATCTGGGGCAATTGATGCTCTGTATTCTTGATGCTTGGGGGGTGCAGAAACAGTGGGAGGGCTTCTTGTGTCCTGGCCCCACTGCTGGACTTCCTGATGGCACCTGGTGTTTTTGGCCAGTGTGTGACAGAGTGTTGGACTGGATGGGCCATTGGCCTGATCCAACATTGGCTTCTGTTACGTCCTTAAGGCAGCTTGTGTTCAGAGGTATGCTGCCTCTGAACCTGGAGGTTTCATTTCGCTCTCAACGGTAAGAGATTGATCCTCCACCATGAATTTTGTCTAGCTCCCTTTTAAAGATATTGGAAACAATTTCCACCATTCTGTGGCACCAAATGTGCATGGAATGGATGGGGCACTACTTTGGTGGGGGGGGTTGTGTTTCCCTGACTTAAATTGTCGATCAGCTGGGGTGACCTCCCCCCAGATGTTCTACTGTCATGACAGAAGAATAATTTTCTCAGTAGCCAGTGCCTCCATAATCGACATCACCATCAGGGGGGGGGGGAAACAACCCCAAAGTAGTGCCCTATCCATTCCATGCAAATTTGGTGCCACAAAATGATGGAAATTGTTTTCAGCAGGGGTCGTTTCCTGCAGGAGCGCACAGGAGCAGAGCTCCGGCAGTAAAGAACCCAGGGGGGCGGGCACATGCAACAAGCCCCGCCTCCTGCTCCCAGCAGCCCCGGGCCACAAGGAGCAAGAAGCAGCCAGGTAAGCTGCAGTGGGTGTTGCCTTCTGACACACTTCCGGTGATGTCAGGGGGTGTGGCATATGCAAATAAGTTATGCTAATGAGTTATGCGAATGAGCTCCTGCACCTCTTTTTCTACGAAATGACCCCTGGTTTTCAGTGTCTTTTAAAAGGGAGCTCAGGAACCAGGGCCTCCACAATCCACATCACCATGTCCCCCACTAGGGCTGCCAAATCCCCCCGGGGGGCGGATTTCCCCCCGCTTTGGAGGACCAATTTCTGCCCCCACGGAATCGGGCCCTGGGGGAAACCCCACCCCGGTGTCCACGTCACCCGGATGTGATGTCATGACGCCGGGCATGCTGGGGGCGGGGCCACAGCCATTTGAGGGGAAAACTCTATGTTTTCCCCTCAAATGTCTGTGGCCCCGCCCCCAGCGTGCCCGGCGTCATGACATCACATCCGGGTGACGTGCATGCGGCGCGTGCATGCGGCGCACGCATGCGCGCTCAAGACGCCGAACGGGAGCCCCCCACCGCCAGGTAAAAACAATTTGGCAACCCTATCCCCCACCCGGTGATCTTTTCCCCCCCAGAACTCAAAATCCTCGATCAGTTCAGCCTCTCCTCACAGATAACGTTGCCAACCTTCACGTGGGGACCGGGGACCTCTTAGAACTCCAGCTGGTCTCCAGACTACTGAGATCGGTTCCCCCGGAGAAAAGGGTTGCTTCGGAGCAGGGGTGGCCAAACGTGCTTGACGTGTCTGAGAGGCCAGGTGTCTGAGAGCCGCAAGACACGAACACACACATTTTTATTTGGGGGGGGGGAATGCAAATTTGCATATTAAATTAAATTAAAGGAGCTGATTCAGTCTAAGGCCCTGTCAGGTGTTCCAGTCAGGACAATTCCCGGAGTTGGTACCCGCGCACGTACAAAAAAAATTCCTCCAATCCCCCAGCTTCACTTACGCAAGCTTCAAGGAAGGTCGGGGCCTGGCACTTGAGAAACTCGGTCAAGTCCCGCAGGCTCAGGTCGTCATCCAGGCCCTCTCTAGGAGCGTACATATGATACGTGTCCACGATGATCTTCATGGCATTCTCCAGGGTGCAGTCGGGCAGGCAGCCGCTCGGTTGGGAGGACATAGGTTTATTGGGGGGGTGGGAGTGGGAGTGGGAGTGTTGGGGAGGGTTAGTTTGGGCAGACATCCTTGGAGATTGCTGTGGGTCTGAAAAGGACAACAGAAAGGCATTCCTCATCAGACTCTTCACTCTCCTTCCTTCCTTCCTTCCTTCCTTCCTTCCTTCCTTCCTTCCTTCCTTCCTTCCTTCCTTCCTTCCTTCCTTCCTTCCT